AAAGAAAAATTTTCCAATTTAAAAAAGGAAGTCTAATTATTTAGGACTAGTTCACAAAATTCATTCAGCCCTTCTCACAACCTTCTTGCTATGTTTATGAATGGTTTGGTAATTAAGCAGAACCTTGCTACTCAAAGTATGACCTTTAGATGACCACCAGGAAGCTTCTAGAAATGCAGATTATTGCAGTTCCCCCAAAACCCCCCAACAGAACCAGAATCTGTTACGCATATTAGAGTTTGAAAGTAAATAAGCAGATCACAGAGAAGAATGGGACAGTGGTGGTACCCTGGTATATAAATAAATTTTGACTATGCAATTTTATTGTTATTGTCTTCAGGAACAACTACAAAGATTACTCCTTGGAGTCCAGACTACACTTCAGAATTCAGGCAGCTCTTCACCTCTGGAGAAAACCTTCCTCAGATTGATCAGAACTTGAAGGATGGAATTTTCCCTCAATTAGCATCGGCAATCTGCTATAGATTCAACCTTATGTTAAAGTGGAAAAGTGATATTGTGAATAAGAGACAAAAAACTAATTTTATTGTCAATATTTTCTATCATCTGAGAGATTTGCTGTTGGTCTACATAATTTTTTTTCCTATGGAATGGCATTCTATATTATCTAGACAATTCTTATATTTTGCCTCCCCCAAAAGAATTTCATATTAGATTTGAATTGGGGGGTGAAGAAGTCTTTTGAAAGACTTGCAGATGCAATAGTCTAATTAGATTATTTATTTTTTTAATGTGGAAATTGATATTGTTTAGCAAATAGCTTACAAGTTGAGCCAATTTTAGATTTGTGGGTAGTTAAACTTTTGAGATATTTTGTTGCCTAGTATTTAAATTTCAGAAGATAAATAAATATCACTTACATTTAAAATAACTTAGCAGTGACCTTCAGAAGACTTCTGAAAAAGACAGTCTGAGAACATGAACACGGATGGGATGTAATGTACTTCGTGGGTTGAAGAGACCTGTATCTATAAAGGATGATCCAGTATTCAGTTAATGGTTTTTTACTCTGATTAAAGGTGGTGACATTTTGGAGAGACTGATTTTGAATGTACTTAAGTCTATTATAATAACAAAATTCAAAAACCCCTGTGTATCTAATGGGAAGAAAGTGTCATATTTTAGGAATTTTTCTTAACCATAGCAATGAGAGCCTGAAATACATACATAGATTATTTTTCTTCTAGGAAGTAAAGTTCCTGCTGCTTTAAATGATATGTAAAATATCAATAATTTTTACACTTAAGATGTTGGTAAGACCTAGTTTTCTAATCTCTCCAGCACTGTGATGTTTCCTTGTAGATATCTGGACCTTGCTTAGTCCCTTAGTTGGGAAACAGAATCAGGGCATGGAGCAGAAGAGAACTTGACACCCCGTATGGTCCTGATTCTGCTACCCGTTAGCGGTGAGTGAGGGGACCTTTAGGGAGTCTGCCGTGCCCTGTGTGTCACCATATTTTCTTCTTCTGTGAAATCTGGATTAAAGAACAGATGACTTTTCAAGGTCTCTTTCAGTTTTGTAACTGAGTCTATGTATTAGGTATTTATTTTCAACAAATGACTTTAAAATGTTGCATGCAAACCATTCCCACTTGGAGTGTTTTATTTTTCAGTCATCACCATTGTCCCCCATTCCCCACACGTATGTGTTGTGGCATCCAGAGTGAGGAAAGACAGTTCATGAGTCGATGAATCTGGGCCTTACTTCTGTTTCCATTTTGAGGAGTAACTTGTCACAGAAGCCTCTGCAGTTGAACAGAAGGAGCCACATATTGGGAGTCAGGAGTTCATCTCTGTGGGTTAATAGTTCCATGACACGGAGTAAGTAGCTCAGCTTTTTGTGGTTCAGTTGCCCCAGTGTGGATAGCGGCATAGTGTTTGGTACTTGTGAGGGCTTAATTAGATAAAACATGTGATAGCTTTTTGTTAACTATAAAAGGCTATACAAAAGTATGAGTTATTATAATAATTATGGTTTTTTATGCCCAGATTACAGTATCGGCACAAAAGTATTGGCTGATATTGTGGTCTGTGTTGTAAAATGAAAGAAGCGTAGAAATTCAAATACTTTTCTGTGTATTCATGTGTTTGATGTTGACAGTAGGCTACCCAGGTTAGATGAACTTGCTCCTGTCGTTCCCTGCCACATGGACCTGTATCAAGTAGTTTCCCGGCCACATGGACATGTATCAAGCAGTGTGTGGCTTGTTTTCTTCAAGGTACCAATTCTTGACCGACACTGAGGATGTGTATCCAATGAAAGATGATTAATAGAACTCAAGTCAGAGTACCACCCCTTCAGATACTATGGTGGTAGATATCAATGTGTTATTAATAATACAACTTTAGGTACAGACAAAATAGAAAATAAAATTAACTGTCATTATAATTAGTAGTGGAAAATACATTAAAAATTATTTGTGTATAGCTTTGGAAAAAGTTTATAAAGTTCTTAGAAGAGCTTTGGTAACATTATTTTTGAAAGCAGACACCTACATTGTGACTGTGGGTATACTGAGCATATATTCTTACATTGTTACTGGGAGAAGCTGCAAGTCAGTGCTGCAAGTCAGTAAAAAAAAAATTCTCTTGGGTATAAAATGAAAGAATTTTAAGCTTAGAGTGGCCATTTTTATTTTAACTCTGCATTACTAAAAAATATAAAAGAAATTCATCTCCATATAAAAATCTTTTTTGTTATTTATATTTTGTTTTATTTTTATTTCCTATTCTTTATGGAGAGTATATCCAGTGGATCTTTTAGTACTGTAATATCAAAGTGCTACAAATATTTGTGTTTCCTGCTATGTTCAAGATATTGTAGTGACACCAACTTCTTGTGGCATCAGCTAATACTGCATTTTGGAGTTATTAGGGTGTTCTCTGAAGAATGAATACTGGAGTGACAGTTTTATCTAGTTTTTTGAGGGGCATTTATGATGGGGTTGGGTTGCCCATTGTGTCTGACAGTGCAATTCCTGTACTTCCTGGCATAATTGCCTTTTTTTTTTCCCTTAACGGAGAGGCGGGGTTCTGATTGATGCTGTATAAATTTAAGTAACATTGTGCTTTGTAGGAATGGTGACGAGGAAGGCATGATTTCCCCTTGACAATGAATGAAAGGTGAACTGCATCAGCTCTTATCTGGACATATACGTTAATGTTTTCTGTGCTCCTTGATGCAAGAAGTTTCCAAGTTATATAGGAAAATTAAGTCCATTGATCCTGTCTTTGTCCTCAGAAGGCAGAGATGAGACAAGTGGATAAAAGCTGTAGGAAGCTGAATTCCAGATTAATCAGTGCCAAGGAAGATTTTTCATTATCGGAAAACCCAACAGTCTAAAATCAATGACCAGTTCTTCTGCAAAGGGGTGAGTTTAAGCAGGGCTAATGTGACTGCCATTTCTGCCTGTCCTAGAAGCTTAGACTAGTTGAACTTTGAGGTCATTCTATGATTCTTCTATTAGGGCTTCAAATCAGTATCGAGTGTGTGAAGAAAAAGTGCTC